GACTGCTATCATGTCTCCCCTGGTCCTTCTTTTCATTAAACTAGCCATGCCCAGTTCCTGCCACCGTTCTTCATATGTTTTAGCCTCTAATCCCATCATCATTTTAGTTGCTCTTCTTTGCACTTTTTCCAAAGTCTCAAAGCAGGCTGGAAGTATCTTCTGGAACCATTAAAATCTCCCTCCCAATGTGTTCAGATCAGTTAGTGACAGGGAAATCTCGGCAAGGAGCCGCTTAGTGATTTTGCAGGATGCACATTTCATGAGAAATGCTGCTCACAAGTTGCAACCCCCCTCCTCCTCCTTCCTCAATCTCTCTAGTTGCTTTCTCGGTCTTCCTTCTCTTTCCAACCTCCGGTTCCACGCGATGACCATTTTTTAAAATGTACATTTTGTTTGAGTTTTGGTTGACTTGTATTTCTAGACATTTTCTCATCTCGGGAACACCTTCTCCCCGATAGATCCATTGATGTAAGTCAGTGCTGAAATTCAAATTTTTTACTACCGGTTCTGTGGGCGTGGCTTGGTGGGCATGGCAGGGGAAGGATACTGCAAAATTCCCATTTCCTCCCCACTCCAAGGAAAGGATACTGCAAAATCCACATTCCCTCCCCATTCCCTCCCCATTCCAGGGAAAGGATACTGTGAAATCTCCATTCCCTCCCCATTCCAGGGAAAGGATACTGCAAAATCTCCATTCCTTCCCCACTTCAAGGGAAGGATACTGCAAAATCCGCACCCCTCCCCACCCCAGGGGGAAAATATTGGAAAATCCCCATTCCCTCTTGATCAGCTGAGACTCAGAAGGCAGAGAATAGATGGGGGCAGGGCCAGCCAGAGGTGGCATTTGCCAGTTCTCCGAACTACTCAAAATTTCAGCTACCTGTTCTCCAGAACATGTCAGAACGTGCTGAATTTCACCCCTGGTGTAGTCCTTCCTACTAATAAAATCATTTCATATTTGGGTTTCAAATCTACGCACTTATGCATCACGTTGAACCGAGCCCCCTGGGCCCTTCTAGCAATTGAGGCTCCGTGCCCCTCCGCAGCCCCGTTTCCAAGATTTAAGGGATCACGGGCCCCAAACATCTGGAAGAGGCTTGGAAACCTGACTCTGGGGAGGGGTGGGGTGTGTTTTTTTTTTAAAGGGAAAATAAGGCATCCATTTTTCCATGCTCACACACTCTTCTGGGGCTTCCGTTGCAGAAGTCGCATCTTTCAAAACTGCAGGAGGAAAATTCCTGGGGGCTATGCGGCTCTTAAAATAAAAAATGCAACCAAGGCGAATTTGGGGGGCACGCCCTCTTTCTGGGGCCGTAGCGTACTCGGAGACCTTTTAATGGGGGAGTAGACAAGCTCTCGTGGCCAGCATGACTACCTTAAAGCTGGAGGCCACCATTCCAAGCATGTCATCTGGGACCCATCTGGGCGTCTTTTGCGGTTTTTCCTTCTTCGTTCCATTCATTTCCCTGCTGTGAGCGACCGCAGCCCTTCATTTTTTCCAGTCAAGGCCCGTGATTCATAAAACACGCTGGCAAGATGTGATTCCTGGAGTCCAGGAGGATCTTTGCAGAAGAAGAGGTCCCCCTTTAGGATACTTGCAATAGTGCTTGGACTGCCTTAAGTAGGAGACGGTGTCAGGGTTCCCACCCGTAGTAAGTAAACCTCCGAGGCAAGTAGGTTCTCCAAAGAATAGCTTTATTGGATGTATCATGTCAGGACAGTTCTGGTGAAAACCGACTCTGAAGGTTCCCCTAATTAAAAATTAAAAGTTAGGCAAGAAAAACCCAATGCACAGATACAGTATAGGTGGTACCTTGCTCAATAGTAGTAACTGTGAGAGGGATCTTGGAGTCCTAGTGGACAACCACTTAAATAGGAGCCAGCCGTGTGCAGCAGCTGCCAAAAAAGCCAACACAGTTCTAGGCTGCATCAACAGAGAGAGAGAATCAAGATCACGTGAAGGGTTAATACCACTTTATAAGGCCTTGGTAATAATGCCACACTTGGAATAGGGCATCCAGTTTTGGTCACCACGATGTAGAAATGATATGGAGACTCTAGAAAGAGTGCAGAGAAGAGCAACGAAGATGATTAGGGGACTGGAGACTAAAACATATGAAGAATGGTTGCAGGAACTGGGTATGTCTAGTTTAATGAAAAGATGGACTATGGGAGATAGGATAGAGGTCTTCCAATATCTCAGACGCTGCCTCAAAGAAGAGGGAGTCAAGCTATTCTCCAAGGCACCTGAGGGCAGGACAAGAAGCAATGGGTGGAAACTAATCAAGGAGAGAAGCAACTTAGAACTAAGGAGAAATTTCCTGACCGTGAGAACAATGAATCAGTGGAACAACTTTCCTCCAGAAGTTGTGAATGCCCCAATACTGGAAGTCTTTAAGAAGATGTTGGATAGCCATTTGTCTGGAACGGTATAGGGTTTCCTGCCTAAGCAGGGGGTTGGACCTCGAAGATCCCTTCCAACTCTGTTATTCTATTCTATTCTGTTCTGTTCTGTTCTGTTCTGTTCTATTTTGGCACAGTTCTAGTGAAAACTGACTCTGAAAGTTCCCACCATTTCCCCCTAATTAAAAGTAAAAGTTTTCCCCCTTCCTCAAACAATCAGTCACATGGACATGGTCCAATCAAGGTGCTGTCTGGTCTCCTGGTAACATTGCTCCTCCTGTCGCTGGCCAGGTGTTAGAATGTCCTTGGTTCCCAAGGGAAAGTGTTTTAGTTTGGCTACAGAACCTACAGCTATCTTTATTTCCTCCCTCCCTATCCTTCCGCTTCAGTGTGGCAACACTGAAGCATCAAAATGCCTGTGGTTAGGTCAGCTTCAGAAGGACTGTAGAAGTAAGACAAGCGAGGGATGGATTTGATTGCGTGGTCCAGTGGTAGTCAACCTTTTTCTACCTACAGCCCACTAATGGATCTTTCTTGATGGAAAAATTTCCTTACCGCCCACCAGTTTTTGTGCAAGTGCGGAATATTTTTTAGAAAGGAGGGTGTTTTTGCACATACATTTATCTTTTTATTTCTACTTTATGCATGTTTATAATGTTTTTAACTTTATAAAGTTTAATTAGAAAACAATAAAGTAAATAGAAATTAGCTTTACTAGTGATTAATGAGATCTTTGAGGCTGATGCTGTGAGACTAAATCTTTGATATCTGGTTCGATTTTCGTAAGGAACACTGTATTAGGTGCCAATTTTTATTAAGTGTCAACATAAAAAAAATTCCTTTTCCTGCCTTCTTCTTCTTTTCCTTTCTTATAGTATTTCACTATATCAAGGATCTCTTTTTCCCTTTTTTTATTTTCTCCTTCGCCTTCCTTTACTTATTTCTTTCTTTTATTTTATAAGATAACAAAACTTAGTTTATGAGCCAGACTAAACACTGCTTACTCTCCTCCTTTATTTCATCCCCTTTTCTCTATTTTTCTTCCCTTTTTTGTTAATTTTTTTTATCTTTTCCTTTTTTACCTTCCTTAGGGCAATGTGCAAAAGTAAGGCTGAGCTAGTTAGCCCACTTATTATTATTAGCCAACAACCATTCTCTCCTGCGTATAACTTTTTTTTCTCCTATTTTGCAACTGCTCTGCTCCGCTTCTGCCTGTCCCTGCTATCAGTTTCCACTCCTCCCCTTCCTCTTCCCAAGTGTTTGCTTGTTTGCGTGCACGCGCACGTTGGTTTATTGATGTGTGCGCTCGCGCCTACCCTCTCACTCAAAAGGAGGTTTTAACCTCCAAAGTCCCTACCACCCACCTGGAATCCTGGGGTCACCAGATGCCCAAATCATCGACCGAGAGATAAGGAGAGCTAGAGAATGTCTTGGTGGGTCTTGCTCAGTGGTGGGATTCAGCCGGTTTGCACCCATTCGGGAGAACCGGTTGGTAACTTTCTAAGCAGTTCGGAGAACCGGTTGTTGGAAGGAATCTCCTTTTGTTTTTCTCCACTTTACAGGGCTAATCCTGTAAGGAAGGCAGGAAGGAAACATTCTGGTGTTGTTTCTAGCCTCATCTTGGTTGACCTGCTTACAGAAACCGCCTCTCCAGTTAACCCTGATTCCATTGTAACAGCTAAGGCAAAGTGCCCATCAACCTGAGTGACGTTGAGTTGACCACGCCTACCCAGTCACATGACCACTGAGCCACGCCTACCCAGCTGGTCATTAGGGCAGAGAACCGGTTGTTAGATTATTTGAATCCCACCACTGGTCCAGCTTTGAGATGACATGCGGCCCATGGCTTTTGTCTTCTAGGAGAAAGAGAAGAAGTACATGCTGCCAGTGGACAACTTGAAGGTGCGGGACATCGAGAAAGGTTTCATGTCCAGCAAGTACATCTTTGCCCTCTTCAACACGGAGCAACGGTAGGTCCTCCTTCTGGCCCAGCTCAAAGAGGATGACCTCAGCGAGTAGGGAAGTCCGTCCGTAGCCAGGTTTCACCTTCTTCCCTTCCCCGCCAACCAGGAATGTTTACAAAGATTACCGTCAACTGGAGCTGGCGTGTGAGACCCAGGAGGAGGTGGACAGTTGGAAGGCGTCCTTCCTGCGGGCTGGAGTTTACCCAGAACGCGTTGGGGTGAGTTGAGGCGCGGTGGTGGAAAAAGGAAACGTGAGCAGGAGTGAGAGTTGGAGGTCAAACCAATCTCGCTGAGATGGCGGATCAAGCAGGCTTAGTTCTGTGTTTGGTTAGAGTGAGACCTCGCTGGTTTGGGTGAGAATCAAGAAGTGGAGGAAGAATTCTGCTCTTCTTCCCTTCCCCGACTCTAAAACAGAAGTTGGGATCTTTGCAGGACGCAATCCATGGTGGAAAAGTCTAATTCTATTCAGTAGGGTTTAAAATTGGGAGCATCTACAGCAAGACGCTGAGCTTGTCAATCAGAAAGGTCGGCCGTTTGGCGGTTCGAAACCCAAGCGCCGCATAATGGAGTGAGCTCCCGTTACTTGTCCCAGCTTCTCCCAACCTAGCAATTCGAAAGCACATAAAAATGCAAGTAGAAAAATAGGGACCACCTTTGGTGGGAAGGTAATTGTGTTCCGTGCGGCGGAAGAGTCATGCTGGCCATATGACCACGGAGACGTCTTCGGCCAGCGCTGGCCCTTCGGCTTTGAAACGGAGATGAGCAGCGCCCCCCCTAGAGTCTGGAACGACTAGCACGCATGTGCAAGGGGAACCTTTACCTTTACAACAGGAGTGACCAACCTTGGGAATGTGAAGACGTCTGGATCTCAACTCCCAGGATTCCCTCCGCTGGGGGAATTCTGGGAGTTGAGGTCCACAAGTCTTAAAAGTTGCCAAGGCTGGACATCCCTAAACTGCAGCCTCCCCCAGGAGGAAGAATGACAATATGAATTAGACTCTTACAAAGTTCTTTTCCCAAGACAGAGGAGGCCAGAGGAAAAAGACCCCCAATATGAGCTTTCCATCCTAACTGGTGGGCTGGCCATGTTGAATGGCCCACCAGAAGGACAACATCGCCACCTGTTGGCGAGGCTTTGGAATGACAGTCCCTTCACTGGCTCCACCATTACATTGTGTACTCTGGTTAAGATTTTGGTTTTTAACCAATTCTCTCTTGTCTTCTTTCATTTTTACTTCTCTTTCTTTGCACTCCCCCATCCAAGTGTTATATTTTATGGGTGCCAGTCCCTCTGGTTTTGTCCATTTGCCGCTCAGTCCTGCACCAATGCTGGGAAAATTGCTTTGCTTGCAAATCCCTTGTTTTAAAAAGTGGTGTTTTAAGATTGACGGATGGATGATGGCTTATCAACTCATTCTCAAGATCACCATAAGTAGATTTCCCCTCTCCCCCTAATGATCCATCACCAACCTGATCCTGAAGGTCTTTCCAATGTTGCCCTCAAGCCAATTTTATTTTTAATTGATTGCATTTTGACTTTGTAACGATCCCATTCTGGTTATATCCACTGAACAAGTTAGCCAGGAAATATATCTACCTACTTTTTTCAATTTTTAAAAAAATCACATTTTTCTTGCTTTTCCCCCCCTTTTTTGTGCTCAAACTGGCCTCACAGGACAAAGATAAAGTAAGTGTTTGACCCTTCTTTTCCTGTGCCATTTTCCTTTGAATTATACTTTTTTTTTTATTGGACACATTTTTAAACTCCTTTTTTCCCCCCTTTAATTTAAACTTTTATCCCTCTATTCCAGTGTTTCTCAACCTTGGCAACTTGAAGATGTCCGGACTTCAACTCCCAGAATTCCCCAGGGGAACTCCTCTGGGAGTTGAAGTCCGGACATCTTCAAGTTGCCAAGGTTGAGAAACACTGCTCTATTCTAAGGGAGACTTTTGTCCTTCACCCCCTTTTTTTTCTCTCCACTTCATTACCACGTTGCCTGCTTGATTTGGTTTCTTATCCTTTCTAGAATGTTCCTTTCTGCTTGTTTTCGTCTTCTCTGGAACATATTCCCCCACCCCCGTTCTTAAGCTACCTCAGAAAGAAAGAAAAAGATATATATATTTTTTCTTTTCGCATTTATTTCTTTTTTTTAAAACATATGTGTGTATATATATATATATAATATCTAGTTTCCCAATCGTTGGTCCCCAGGACCTGTAAGGTATGTACGCAATAATGCAAATTGTAGGTTTAGAGCAGGGGTCGGCAACCTTAAACACTCAAAGAGCCACAAAAATCCTAACTGGAAGCCCCCCGTTCAATTCTGGAGCTGACCGGAAGTCTGGTCGCCCCCCCCACCATAGAGTCTCCTCCTAGCATGGCGTCCTTTTTCCTCTGCTGACCAGAATTCTGGTTCCCCCACCATAGAGTCTTCTCCTAGCACGGCGTTCTTTTTTCCCTCTTCCTGTCCTCACCGAAAGCCCTATCAACTGTGGAGCTGATCGGTGACAGGGAGCCTCAGCAGAGCCACTTGCGGCTCCAGAGCCACAGGTTGCCGACCCCCTGGTTTAGAGATTAAATCCAAACACCTTTGGATCGAGTCTCTGAACGGAGTCACGATTGCATGTTCAAACCACAATGTTCTTTCCACCCCTCCCGCTAAGAAATTTATACGGTCTGGAGAGCGGGAGGCAGAAGGCTCTGAATTGGTTTTCCCGGTTTTCGAATCGAAACAAAAAAAAAATCTGAATCCCGATTCTTGACGTGAATTCGATTTTTGCAGACCTTGGATGGAGAAGTGCTTTCGAGCACCGATGTAAGCAGAGAGTGATGGCATCAGAGAACCTCTGATAAAACTTGTCCAACATCAAGTTTCATATCGCCGGAGAAAATAGTCTCTATTTTCTTCTGTACATTATTTGGATAAACTGCAATGGGAGATGATGGTATCCAACAAAAGTCCAGGTTGGGTCTGATACTAACCTCCATCTGTGGTGTCCTTGCCAATGAAGGTCGCTTCAGAGGAGCATCAGAGGTTCTCCATGGGAAGTAGGAGATTGTGGGCTTTAAAATGTGGTTCTCTTTGGCTTCTGGTGGTTAATGGCTTGCTTTGTCTCCCCGTCGATCTTCTGCAGTCTGGCGATTCGGAAGAGAATGGCTCGGACAGCTTAATGCATTCCATGGATCCCCAGCTGGAGAGACAAGTGGAAACCATCCGGAACCTTGTTGATTCTTACATGGCCATCGTCAACAAAACCATCCGTGATCTGATGCCCAAGACGATCATGCACCTTATGATAAACAACGTACGTATAGGTAGCGCCTTGCTCAGTAGTAGTAACTGGGAGAGGGATCTTGGAGTCCTAGTGGACCACCATTTAAATAGGAGCCAGCCATGTGCAGCAGCTGCCCAAAAAGCCAACACAGTTCTAGGCTGCTTCAACAGAGGGATAGAATCAAGATCACGTGAAGGGTTAATACCATTTTATAAGGCCTTAGGAAGACCACACTTGGAATACAGCATTCAGTTTTGGTTGCCACAATGTAGAAAAGATGTGGAGACTCTAGAAAGAGTGCAGAGAAGANAAGGTCGGCAGTTCGGCGGTTCGAATCCCTAGTGCCACATAACGGAGTGAGCTCCCGTGACTTGTCCCAGCTTCTGCCAACCTAGCAGTTCGAAAACACGTCAAAAATGCAAGTAGAAAAATAGGCACCACCTTTGGTGGGAAGGGAACAGCATTCCATGCGCCTTCGGCATTGAGTTATGCCGGCCACATGACCACGAAGACGTCCTCGGACAGTGCTAGCTCTTCGGCTTTGAAACGGAGATGAGCACCGCCCCGTAGAGTCGGGAACGACTAGCACATATGTGCGAAGGGAACTTTTACCTTTAAGGCACCACACCAAAGTTACATGCAACCCTCCCCCCCCCAAAAAAAACCTTAGATAAAATTCCTGAACCATCTGACTTAGTTTTCCACATTGATGGATGAGTTACACGCCATCAAGTCTTGATTAATTCTTAGCTACACGCAGAGTGATTTTCTTTGCGGTGACATGCGTGTCTGCGGGGCTCGAATGCCTAGAGAAGAGCAAACTTCTTAGAGCAAAAACACGCCTTAACGGAACCGAATCCTTCGTGGAGTCCCCCCCATTCCCCCACTAGCAAGTGGGTGCAATTCTGTGAGGCTTTTTCTGTCTGCAAATCTCTCATGGCTGTCTCAGATTTGTTAGAAAGAAGCTTTTGGATGCTAAGTTACCCCGCTGGGGGCCGGGTGGGCAAGCAAGCTGGGAGAGGGTTGGAATTAATCAGCAACGCGATGTTTAGTTTGGAGAAGAAGAAAAAAAATTGAAATGGGAAGTCGGCTGGCTGGGAAGCCAAATACCAACGTTGCTGTTATTTTGAAGGACGCCTCCGGGGCCTCCAGAAAATGAGAAGCAGAGAGAAGGAGGTGGCGGCAGAGCAGGACTTGGCTTATGCAACGTCTTAGCTGCCAACCCGGGGGGAATAAAATTGACAAAACCAAGATGCTAAAATGTTTTCGACTGAGAAGAAACTCCTTCCGTTTGCCTTCTGGAGGGTGGGCTCTAGCATAGACGGGTGTCTTCCAAAAGTTGGTCACTAACTGGTGCTCCATGGACCACTGGGGGTCCACGGGAAAACGTTGGTGTTCCGCAGAAAAATTATTTGCATTTTTTAGTATTGCATTAAATCGAACGATCAGAATAGGGCTGGAAGGGACCTTAGAGGTCTTCTAGTCCAACCCCCTGTTCAAGCAGCAAATCCTATCCCATTTCAGACAGGAGGCCGTCCACTCCTTTCTTTAAAACCTCCGGTCATAAAGCAGCAGCCACAATTTCTGTAGGCAAACTGTTCCACTGGTTAATTGTCCTCGCTATTGGGAAGTTTCTCCTTAATTACAGGTTGCTTCTCTCCTTGATTAGTTTCCACCCATTGCTTCTTGTCCTGCCCTCTAGTGCTTTGGAGAATAGCTTGACTCCCTCTTCTTTGGGGCAGCCCCTGAGATATTGGAAGACTGCTATCATGTCTCCCCTAGTCCTTCTTTTCATTAAACTAGACATACCCAATTCCTGCAACCGTTCTTCCAATGTTTTAGCCTCCAGTCCCCTAATCCTCTTTGTTGCTCTTCTCTGTATTCTTTCTAGTTTCCACCCATTCTATTCTATTCTATTCTATTCTATTCTATTCTATTCTATTCTA